GCAACAGCATAGATGACTCTACAAGAGAGTACATAGTCTTTTTAAAGAATAGACAAATTCATCAGTGATAATAAAAGTCAGAATGATAAAATAAAAATGTGAAGACATGTATAACTTGTAAGTATATTGAATCAAAAACTTCCCAACAAAGAAAAGCCCAGGACGATACACATGGCTTCACTGAAGAATTCTACCAAACAGTAAAAGAATATTTAATACCAATCCCCCTCAAATGCTTCCAACAAACTGAAAAGGGAACACTTCCAAACTCTATGAGGCCAGCACTATGCTGATATGAAAGCCAAAGACAACATAAGCAAAAAACTACAGGCCAATATCCCTGATGAATACTGATGAAAAATTCTCAACAAAATACCAGGCAATCCAAATGCAGCAGTAAATTAAAAGGATTATGCAACATGATTCAATTGGCATTTATTCCTGAGATTTGAGCAAGGTTCAACACATATTAATAAAACCAATCAATGTGATACACTACATTAACAAAATAAAGGATAAAAATCATATATATGCGGGATCTCAATTGATGCAGAAAAAGCATTTAATAAAATTCAACATCTATTCATGATTTTTTAAAAAACAACATTCAACAAACTAGGAAGAGAAGGAATTTACAAACTAGGAAAAGGAGGAATTTCCCTTTCTTAAAGAACAAATTGGTGAGATTTACAAATAGTTTGAAAATCATGCCCTTTGACCCAGTAATTTCACTTTGAGAAATAATAATCAAAGATATACCTAAACTTTTATATTACTTGAGATATTATTAAAAATAGTAAAGCTAGCCCAGATGCGGTGGCTCATGCCTATAATCCTATCACTTTGGGAGGCTGAGGTGGATGGATCACTTGAGGTCAGGAGTTCAAGACCAGCCTGGCTAATATGGTGAAACTCCATCTCTACTACAAATACAAAAATTAGTCAGGCATAGTGTCACAAGTCTGTAATTCCAGTTACTTGAGAAACTGAGGCAGGAGAATCACTTGAACCCAGTAGGCGGAGGTTACAGTGGGCCAAGATTGCGCCACTGTACTCTAGCCTGGGAGACAGAGCGAGATTCTGTCTCAAAAAAAAAAATAAAAATAAAATAAAAATAGTAAAGCTAGAACAGATTTAAATGTCTAACTGCAGTAACAGTGGCATAAAAATGTATCAGACATAAACCTGAACATATAAAACTGTGGTTGCTCCTAGGTAATTACTTTATGGATGGCGTTTTTTACTCTTTCTTTAGTACTTTCTAAAATCTCTCCCATGAACATGCATTACTTTTAAACTCAGAAAACTTAAGTGCTGCATTTTTTCTTTTTCTTTTAACTGTCCAATACTAGAGGCCTAGCTATCCATGAGGAGGCTAATAAGATAAACACAACCTGTTACCTATTCCAGAAAACAAAAACATAAGTAACAGAGACTATTTTCCTATGTTCTATTCATTTAAAGAAAAAAGTTTCATCTAGTTAATAATAATTTAAAAACTATTAATTAAAAATGGCTAACTCAGGAACTTGAATTTTAAAAATTAAAACTACATTTTTCCCCTAACCTAACAACCCACTGACCCACTGACCTACTTTGGAATTTAGGTTTGTTAATTCTGATACCACAGGTATTTTGGGAACTGATGGATCTATTAACATTAATTAAAAGTAGTGCTGAAATTTAACTGACCGGTATTATACAAAACCCAAGCAACAATCCTTAACTACATTTATTACCATTTATGAAAAACTCTAACTTGCTTTTGCAGATTACTGAATTTGTGTAACTGAAAAGATAATTATTTCTAAGAGTAGAACAACTTTAACTTGCAAAGAAAGGCCCAAATATTTAATACTTTTTAGATTAGTTGTTTAATATACAAGGAAAAAATGAAATTAAACAGTAATTCTCAATGTATTCAATACTAAATGTATTAGCCACCTCTACAACCCATATAAAATATTGGCAAAATAAAACACATTCTTGGTTTTACAGCTATCTCTACAATCAATTTAAATTTGAAAATTGACTTGTAAGAATAAGAATCAGATCTGGTTTTATGAACCAGACCTCTTAGAGCCAGACAGGATTCTGGCTCAAGACAGACATCAACTGATAGTACAACTCTGGCCAGCTGAACGTCAAGATGTGAGATACTCATTAAAGCTCATTAAATAAACAAAAACTAAACAGTACAGTTCTCTTAGTGGGAAAACACTATTCCAATAATTCAACTAATACATTTTTTCAAGTAATGTCTGAGCTTCCTATTCATGTAAATAGACTGATCTTGTCCACAGAGTATAGGAACACCTTATCCCCTTTTCAGAGATAAGAGTGAGGCCTACATCTATCCCCAGTCTCAAGTAAGCCTCACACAAAACCTGAAGGTGGAGAGAGAGCACACGCCTCTGAATGAATTTCAGATGTAATCAGGTACCATACACCTAAAGTTATACCACCTGGCCTCCATCCTAATGCCAGCAGGAAGAAAGAAGGAGCCCTGTGGTAAGCATTCTGCTTACCTCCAAAGAATGTCCACTCCCTCATCCCTGGACCCTATGAAGATGTTACCACACATGACAAAAAAAGGACATTGCAGATGTAATTAAGGGTAAGAATCTTGAGACGTGGAGATTATCCTGGATTATCCAAGTGGGTCCAAAGTAATCATGTGAGTTCTCAAGAGCAAAGGACCTTTC